AAGTATTCTAATTAATATTATCCAAAATAAAAAATGGTGCAGTGTAGAAAATGCAAGCTTTTTGTTTCTGTGACAAAGGATGATATAATAAAGTGCAAAGGTCAATGCGAGTCGGTATTCCATAAAAAGTGCATAAAAAATATAAAACAATTTTTACAAGATGAAATCTGTGATGAGTGCAAACAAAAAGAAGGGAAAACGCCCATCAGCAAGGAAGGTGCGCCGACTAACATAGGGAATATTTCCTCTGAAGCTATCCTCTTGGATATTAACAAAAAACTGGATATAATATATAAGCTCGAAAAACGTATTGAAGAATTACATGAAACAGTAGATTTTTATGCTGAACAATATCAGAAAATGATGGAATTTAGTACGGAAACAGAAAGAAAGTTAAAGGCGATGGAGCAGAATAATATATACATAAAAATGGGTGCGTGTACTTATGTAGGCGCGTAAGAAGTTATCCTTCTTTGGCATCGTTTAAAATTAGTTTTTAATTGCATGCAAATAATTAATTACAATAAATTAATAAAAGGTCTGGAAAAGGACACAGTCAATAAAGTTCAGTTTTAATTTGAAAAAATAAATAAATAATCAAAATATTCAATTAAAATCGCTACTGAATATAATTTATTAGAACATATGTGATTTGCACTTGTATGAAACTCAAACACGTATTCCGAATATACAAACTAGAACCATGTGGATAAATATTATAAACTAGCGGCCCGCCCTCGCTTCGCTTCGGTGTAGAGCTGAAGTGTAGACTACAGTTTTGTTCTCAGGTTTGTATTATACACAATGACATTCATCTATGATTCTTCTTATACCTGCATGCAAAGTCTCAGCCCGATCGGTTTAAAATTGATAAAGTTTCATACAAACTTTCATTCCTTATTTTATCCCCTTGGGATTTTCTTTATATTTTTTTCCGTAAGAACCTTGTACAGAGTATTAGAAAACTAAAAAAAAAAAACAGCCAAATCGGTCAAGCCGTTTTCATGTTATGTCGTGACAACGGAAAACGGGTTTCATTTTTATATATAATATAGATATGAAAACAGTCTCTGTTCTAAATTCAAAACTCGTAACTTTTCCCGATGTTTGTTGTACGTGTTTCCCGCGCTAGGACCGCGAGTGGCCGCGCATGCGTACGGTGCGGCGGGCGACGCGGTAATGGCAGCGCGGCACATGAAGTTGGTCGCTAAAGCGACGTGGTGTCATGGTGTTAATTTTTTGTGTTACAGATGCGCGCGCATCTTAAAATTTCACTCTCATATTTTTTTTATAACGCGCCTAAAGAAGTATAACTTCAAAAAAATGCAATGCTGCCTTAGAGGAACGTATACAGTATTTGGAGCAAAAGGAAAGAGAAACAAAGGTAGAAATTATGGGACTTGAGAAGCATGGAACTGAAAACATACAGAAAATTATAGAAAAGGTAGCTAATATACTAGATATGAGTGCAGAAGATATCGAAGAAGCAAGAAGGGTGGGTAGAGAAAAAAATAAAGGAGGTAACGTATATAGGTAAACCGCAAGCTGTAATAGTTAAACTTCGCTCAAAAACAGCGAGGGATCGATGGTTAAAAGTTCGTAAAAATACCCCTACTAACGGAGATATATACGGCAACGAAAGTTCCCAGCGTATATATATTAATGAAGATTTACCCAAACAGAAGCGAGAAATATTCTGGGAAACCAAAAATCAACTAAAAGGGTTATATGACTTCATTTGGGTACAAAACGGAAATATATTGGTAAAAAGAAATGAAGACGAAAATAAAATATATAATATCAAAACATTAAAAGATATAGAAGTACTTAAATATAAAACAAACGCAGCAACATCATAAAGTGCAATATAGCACGGCATATACTCACTATATGATTTTATATATGCTACAAACTTTAATGAATAAAACAGAAATAGAATCAGAAATACCATTTAAAAGGTACAAAAACTTTTACCAATTTTATGGGGAAATGACTGATGGATATATATATATGATACATTTAAATATAAGGTCTATGAGAAAAAACTTCAATGAATTTATGGTTCTACTAAGTCAATCAAAGAGGCAAATAGATATTATAATTTTGTCAGAAATAAATATAAAACAACAGGAAGTAATGATATATAATATAAAAGGATATGATATTTATTCTCATACTAGAGAAGAAAGAAGAGGTGGAGGTTTAATAATTTATACAAGAAAAAACTTGAGCACTACTATGAAAATAATAAATATTGGGTCGGCAGAAGTTGTACATGGAATAATAACTTCAGAGAAAGCATGCACGCATATTGTTGCTATATATCGGCCACCCAATAAGAACAAATTACAATTTATCAGAGAAATTGAGATTCTTATGAGAGGTTTTCAATATACAGACAACGTATTTGTCATCGGAGATATAAACTTAGACATATTGGGAAATAAAATAAATCCCACCATAAACAGATATAAAAACAGTTTGTGTGTATGCGGCCTGCAGAACGTTATACCGAATACAGAGGTAATGCGGGAAGCGGTAGTGAACGGGCGCCGTGAGATGTCCTGCTTGGATCATGTATGGGTGCGAACGAGACAGACTCGCGGTTACTGCGTGAGCGTCGCTGCGTACATTATTGACAGCTTCATATCGGATCATCACATAGTTGGTATTTGTGTAAGCACAGGTAAGAGTGACAAACTACAATACAAAAAAGATCAAGTGAGTGTGTTTGGTCAATTGCGTTACTCATTGTCTCAACGACAAGTTAATGATGGTTTAGTATTGTATGACTGGAATAAACTTAATGGATTAAACTGCCCCTTAGTGTTATATGATCATATATGCAATGTGTTCAAGAGTGTGTACGAAAATAGTCAGAAGTTACAGGTGTTAGGTAAGAAAAATCTATTTAAGCAACCGTGAGTTGATATTAAATTATTAAAAATGATTGAAAAAAGGGATAAATTGTTTCGTATATGGAAAGCATCTCCTAAAAACATGAATAAGCGGTTAGATTATACGCGGTGTAGGAATAAGGTAAATAAGTTGATTTTTTATGCAAAAAATAAGTACAGAAGGGGTCAAATAACTAATTGTAATGGTGATTATAGGAAAGTATGGGCGCATATTAATGAATGGACTGGACAGGTAAAGCCAAGTTTAGATAATGTAATAATTAAGCACCTAGGAAAATCAGACAATATTTCCAATATTTGTAATAACTTTACGACAACTTTTACAAAGGAAATATTAGAAATTAAACATTATTGTAATATAAAATTTTTGGACAGAAAAACATATGTAAAAGAAAGTAACGTCACATTTAGATACAGGAAAGTGAATGCGGTACAAGTGGAAAGAATCATTAGAAACATAGATTGCCATAAGGCACCTGGGGTAGATAAAATAAGAGCACAAGACTTAAAATATATAAAACAGAAAATCTGTCCTTTACTAGCCAAATTTATTAATATGTATATTGAGCAAGGAACTTATCCAGAGCAATTAAAAAAAAAGTATCATACGTCCAATACACAAAAAAGGTAGTTATACAGACTATACTAATTATAGACCAGTAGCAATATTGTCTGTAATTAATAAGGTGATGGAAAAGGTCATAGTAGGTCAAATTACAGAGTTTTTAGAAAAGCATAAGATTTTACATGATGCGCAGCACGGTTTTAGGAAAGGAAGGAGTACTAGTACTGCTCTAAACTACTTTGCTGAAACTGTAAATACGAGTCTGGATGCTGGACTACAGGGTCTCGTTCTTTTTATAGACTACAAAAAGGCGTTCGATACACTTGATCATAATATGCTGCTTCAAGCTATGAGTGAATGTGGAATAAGAGGACCCATGAATGAATGGTTAAGAAGCTACTTGAGCAAGCGAACTATGTGTACAGCAATATCAGGACAATTAGGAAAAGTGGCTAAAGTGGAGCTGGGTGTACCAACCGGATCAGTCTATGGGCCAGTTGGGTATATCATGCATGTAAACAATGTGGGTAATGTTGTCCAGAGATGTAGGGTTTGTATGTATGCAGATGACATGTGCCTCATGTTTGCATCTAATAATCCAAATGAATTATCAGAAAATATCCAAGAAGATCTAGAAAATATCACTAAATGGGCACATGATAATGGAATCATTATTAATATTACTAAAACTAAATATATGCATATATACTCACCTTATAACCGTGCAGCTAGGACAATGAATCAGGACACATTTAGCATAATAGGTCACTCTTATGAATGTCTACATAATATGAAATGTGCATGCAATTGTCAAAAAATAGAAATGGTAGAAAATTTCAGATACCTAGGCGTAGACATAGACAGAAACTTTAACTTCAAAATGCATATAGAACAGGTTTGCACTAAGCTTCGAAATGTCTTTTGTAAATTTTATCAGTTAGTGAAAATATTAGACAGACGGACACTACTAATGGTATATCATGCTCTTGCCGAATCTTTAATTAGTTATGGTCTTAGTGTATATGGGCGTACTTATAAAACATATATAAACGAGATAAAAAATATACAAATAAGGTTACTGAAATATATAGTTGATAAAAACACAAGAAAAAAATGTAAACAGGATTACAGTAAATTATATAAAGTATGTAGGATATTGCCAGTAGACAAGAAAGTGGATTATTTAATAGTAAAAGAAAATTATTACAATTTGTGGGATAGACCCCTCATTGTCAATAGGTATAATACAAGTAGTGTTAAGGAAAGGAAGTTTATTATACATAAAGTTAAAAATAGTTATGGGATGAGAACAAATAAATATATAATACCAAAAATTCTAAACAAATTAGAGTGGGTAAGAAAAAATAAAAATGTTAGCATACAAATATTATAAAAATCCTTGAAAGAAATTTTACAGAAATGAGAACACATATTATTTTGTATAAGCAAAAACTATGTATCAATAAGTACTTAAACATTATTTTCACATTACATTGTTAATGTTCACAGTGAACCGCTTGATATTTTGTAACTAAATATTTAAATCAAAATCTCTTTTTTCAAATTGGAAGCATAATAAAACTCTTTTGAATAATGCGTAAATTATGTATTTGTAACAGATAGTCACTTTAAAATAGCTTAGACATAATATGTTAACAGTAGCTTATAGTCATATTATTTGTAAGTTTATAACAATAGTATTAGTTATATGATACTGTAAGGAAAACGAGCGTTGGCTTGCCAACAACCTGATGTTTACAGGTTGGCAAGGTATTAAAATATGAAAAAAATATGTATCAATAATTAAATAAATAAATAAAAAAAAATATGATTTCTATCAAAATATATTATAATAACGAACTTTTCACAACAGCTAGCATATTGTTCATCTTTCAGCGAAACAATATCAATTTAATAATACAATTTAAATCACGTAAGCGAAATCATTATTCTTTTAAGTTTAGTATCATATCACTGCAAACAATGGATGACGCAACATGTGAATACGAATCAAAATCCAGCGTCTACAAAATTAATTACGCATATTTATTAAAAACACATGAATGTTTCATGAAGGCAATGAGTTTGAATACAATTACTCGTAGAATGAAAGGACTGTACGAGCTTACACTTAAATATTTATTAAAGTGAGCGCTCTGTGTGAGGAAACGGGACCGTTAATTAAAATAGTGGGACAATAATATCACAGACAATGTGCCGTTCCATGTTGAAAGATAGAAAACAAAAAATACATGTAGTTAGAAGCATTTAAGATAGCTCTATTCCCCGAAACATGAGCACCACAAACTATATTATACTTCTTCGCTGCAAGTATGTTGTATGGCTGTTCATAATGTTGTATGGCTAGCTAGTGCAGCACGTTTCTCAGCCACACAGACATTCATCGCATTCAAAGTCCTATAAAGTAATTTGCCAGGATCGCCATAAAAAAAGAGGTCTAGGGTAGGTCGATAAGGTACGACATAAAAAAATCACGTGTCCGGTTATTTTATTAGTTACTAAGCATACAGGCATTGGTACAGCTGATCCTTCAAGTCGCTGACGGCGTCGTCCATTTCCCGCTTGGCCTTGTTGCCGCACGCCGTCAGCTTCTCGTGCGATTGTTCATTATATAACGCCACTTTTTAAAAAAGCTTATAAATCACGCTTTATGCGCTTTATTGTAGTTATTCGCTGCAAGTATTGTTCATAATGTTGTTTGGCTAGCTAGTGCAGCACGTTTCTCAGCCACAGAAACATTCATCGCATGCACATCATTCAAAGTTCTATAAAGTAATTTGCCAGGATCGCCAGAAAAAAGGTGTCTAAGGTAGGTCGATAAGGTACGACTTAAAAAAACATTTGTCCGGTTTTTTTATAAGTTACTAAGCATAAACACATTGGTACAGCTTATCCTTCAGGTCGGTGACGGCGTCGTCCGTCCCGCGCTTGGCCTTGTTGCCACACGCCGTCAGGTTCTCGTGCGATTGTTCATTATATGACGCCACTTTTGAAAAAAAGCTAATAAATAACGCTTATTATGCGACTAAGAAGTGTTTTCTTAAATGATTGGTATGCGTGAAATCATAAGAAATAAATAAGTTTCATAACTTCTTGTTGACACTAGGTTTATCCAAACATAACTATATTGTAGTTATTCGCTGCAAGTATTGTTCATAATGTTGTATGGCTAGCTAGTGCAGCAACTTTCTCAGCTACAGAAACATTCATCGCATGCACATCATTCAAAGTTCTATAAAGTAATTTGCTAGGATCGCCATAAAAAAAGGTGTCTAATGTAGGTCGATAAGGTACGACATAAAAAAACATTTGTACGGTTTTTTTATTAGTTACTAAGCATACACGCATTGGTACAGCTGATCCTTCAGTTCGCTGACAGCGTCGTCCGTCCCCCGCTTGGCCTTGTTGCCGCACGCCGTCAGCTTTTCGTGCAAATGTTCATTATATGACGCCACTTTTGAAAAAAACTAATAAATCATTCTTTATGCGCCTAAGAAGTGTTTTCTTAAATGATTGGTCTGCGCGAAATCATAAGAAATAAATAAGTTTCATAATTTCTTATTTACACTAGGTTTATCCAAACATAACTATATTGTAGTTATTCGCTGCAAGTATTGTTCATAATGTTGTATGGCTAGCTAGTGCAGCACGTTTTTTCAGCCACACGAACATTCATCACATGTACTTCATTCAAACTCTTATGAAGTAATTTGCCAGGATCGCCTTAAAAAAGGTGTCTAAGGAAAGTCGCTAAGGTACGTCATAAAAAAACATTTGTCCGGTTTTTTTATTAGTTACTAAGCATAAACGCATTGGTACAGCTGATCCTTCAGGTCGGTGACGGCGTCGTCAGTCCCCCGCTTGGCCTTGTTGCCGCACGCCGTCAGCTTCTCGTGCGACTGTTCGTTGTGACGCCGCGCGTTGGTCAGACTGAGGTCCAACTCATAGCCCAACTTCACTGCCGCCCTTGACAACTCCTTGATGCATTCGGTGACTTCGTTCCTTTAAAAATATATATACATTACTAGCGGCCGCCCGCTACTTTGTCCGCGCTAACTTTAGATTTTTGAAAATCTCTTAAGAGACATACCAATTTTTCGGGATAAAAAGTATGTCTCGATCCAGGTAATAAACTATGTGTGTGCCAAATTACATCCAAATCCGTTCGGCCATTTTTGTGTGATTGAGTAACAGACATACTTAAAAACATACAAACTTTCACATTTATAATATTAGTAGGATCGTCATCAAACATATTAATAATACTTAAACCAATTCAATTAAATCAGATAAGTATGATCCATATTTTAGTAGACTTATTTAATTCCCATTCAGTGTTAGTAATTAACATTTTGATAGAAGTAATAATAATGAAAATACAATTATAAAAAACCCCCATCATAACGGCTGTAGTCATTATGATAGTGTTTGAGCTTGCATAATATATTCTGCCCAGTAACGAAGCTATACTTTAGCATGCCTGAAACACGTCCCCACTGCTGGGGTACAGGCACAGGCCTTGCCTATGGATGGAATAGACAAATTGATTAATGATCCATATTCCAGTGCGGATTGGTAGCTGCTGCAGATGCAACCGGGACCAACGGCTTTTTCCGAAGCACGGAGAAGCTTGAGATAGTGAAATTTTGGTCACTCAATCGATGACCGGCCATTGCGAAAGTTGCCTAACTTCCTCAACTTCTCAGACCGAACTCGCAAAATATTATATATATTCGCATACATACATAGGTATCTCGAAAAGAAAAAGAATAAGCTGTACAGATTCGTATTTAAAAAAAATACGCATCGAGTCCAATGGTCCAAACAAAGCGAGGGGCATTGGATTTATTAAAAACAATACGATTTGTACAAGATAATGTCTTTTCTTTTTTTTTATTTGACGACCTCCGTGACCGAGTGGTTTGTACGCCGGATTTCATGGTGTCGCCGACTCGAGAGGTCCCGGGTTCAAATCCCGGTGGGGGCAGATGTTTGTGTGATGAATACGGGCAATCGTACTCCAGTCAAGGATGTTTAATATTCACTTCTATAAAAATATACTTATATATGTATTCTATCCGTTACCCTAGTATCCCATAACACAAGCCTTATAGTGAATACTTTGGGGCTAGGTTAATTGGTGTGAGTGTTGGAAATATTTATCATTTATTTATTTTGTTTGTGTAACGTTTTGTGAAAAGTTTAGTGTTATAATCAAGGAGTAGGTAGGATGCGAAGAAGCAGTATCGTTAGTTAAAACAACTGAAATATTTGCAGTCCCAGTAGTAAAAGTGAATAAATTAAAAAAAACTACTCAAAAATAGTACATACTCTTGTGAACTCGTTGATCGTTGTACTCTAACTGCTAAAGATTTAGTGGCGTCTTCCAAAGAGTTTTGCATGTGATTTTTGGTGATGCCTATCATTTCCTCGGCATATTTTCCCATCTTGGCTATGGAAGCCCTGGCTTCTTCTGTGCACCTGTAAATCTGTGCCACGTGCCGGCTGGCCAGCGTCCGGGCCTGCCGACGCTCTTCATCACACATAGCTAGATAAACAATAGCATAATATATTATATTTTTATTTTGTATGCATAAAACGACTAGACGTTTAAATGTAAAGAAATTTTTAATAAAAAACCAACGAGGGGGAAGAACCTTCAGATTTTAATAGCGTCATTTTTATTATTAGAAGCAAATAATATCCAAATATTTAGATATTTGTTTTTCAACTAGTGGTGACTTCGTCTGCGTGGAAATATTGGTTGCCCATACAAACTTTGACCCAAGTTTTACCCATTCAGGGGGTAAGTTTTGGAAAATCCTTTCTTCTCCAATCCTTTCATCTATTCTTAGCGCACGCCTACATCATAAAAGCTATATGTGTGCCAAATTTCAGCTGAATCCGTTAACTTGTTTGAGCTGTGCGTTGGTAGATCAATCAGTCAGTAACGATTGCCTTTTATATACCTATACAGAAGATATATGAAGATGTCAAAGAAACTAGAATGAAATAAAATAAAAAGTCATTTATTCAGTCTAGGCTGTTACAAGCACTTGTGAAGGTCAAGAAGCTACGCTATCGGTTCGCAAAACTACGGCGACAGACCTTGTACTGAAAAGAACCGGCAAGAATCTCAGCTAGGGCTGTTTTTTTCTCCCTGTATTGTTATATACAGAGTCGTCAAGTTGAAAATTGACTTCAGAGATACGTCTGAAGTCACCTTCCATTACATCATTTAGAATATAAATATATAGTTACATTAAATTTATAGTTAACAATATATTTAGTATATAGGAAGCGGCATTAGATAGGTACAATATTCCTGTTATGAAAAATGACTAATACCCATCAAATAACAAATTACAAGAAACACTATGTCCATGCATTACGATCATTTAGATAATCATCAACTTTATAATAGCCCTTATTCATAAGAGTATTTTTAAATCTGAGATTTAAATTTAGTCAGTGGGAGCTCAATCAGATCTAGGGGAACTATTAAACAATGCAATACTAAAACCCAGAAATGAACCTCTTGATTTTTGGAGTCTGAAACATGGAACGGCAAGCTTGTTTTTAAATGTCGTGTTAAACTTATGGGTTTGATTTTTTTTGCAAATGCATCATAGTTTTTTCTAACATATATTAAATTTTCATAAATGTATTGCGATGATAGTGTTAAAATATGAATTTCTTTTAATTTTCTCCAAGGTATTCTCCAAGGGATTCTCTTGCCTTAAAATTGTATATGGCGCGAACATTCATAGTATATTAACAGCATTAATATACTATGAATAACAGAAGATTGTAGGAATCATCATCAGCCTATTAATGTCCCCACTGCTGGGGCACAGGCCTTCCCTATGGATGGAATAGGGAGATTGGGCCATGACACACCACGCGGGCCCAGTGCGGATTGGTGGGTGCTAACGACTGTAGATGCAGCCGGGACCAACGGCTTAACGTGCCTTCCGAAGCACGGAGGAGCTCGAGATAATAATTTTTGGTCACCCATCCAATAACCGACCACTGCGAAAGTTGCTTAAGTTCAACGATTGCAGCCGAACGCGCTAACCACTTGCGCCATCGAGCTCCTCATTGTAGGAATATTTCAAAATAATTTATGGAAGGCGTTACTAAAATGGAACTCCTCAATGCTAATTATAATTCAACCTCCATCTACATAATATGTAAAACTCGAAGGAAAGATGATAACAAGGAAATCAGGAAGATCAAAAAGATAAAAAAATATATAAAATCCTACAATTTGCCTCTATTTGAGCTCACAACGTAATAATCTACAACGAATAATGACAGCAGAAAACTTCCGAATTTTGCGGACGTGATTCCTGTTTAGCATTTTTTTTTATCTCAGTAAAGTAATATCATTCGAAATACGTTCGAATTTGGCCATTATATGTGAAGCACCAATTACGAATTCATTCAATTTCGCCATTGTATTTGAAGTACCCACAGCCACAACACAAAGCGCGAAGAAGCAGTAGAAAAAACTTAGTCTTAGATATTCCATAATTTTTATGCGATTATAGGTCCCGGTTCCTGACAGTTGTTGTCAAGTACAAATCTATTTTTATTATTATTATTAACATTGCATTTACGCCATAAGGTAATCTTTCTTTTTTAGGATTGCGTACACAAAGGGTAATAAAAACGGGAACCTATTACTAAAACTTCACTGTCTGTCTCTCTGTCACCAGGTTACCGTGATAATCTAGAGAGTTTAAATTTTCAGAGATGATGTACTCCTGTTGCCGCTTTACAAATACTAAAAACAAAATAAAATAAATATTTAAGGGAACTTCCAAATAAAAAACGTGTTTTTTGCTTGATATTAATAACGTCAACAGGTAGATGCCTGAAATATTTACAGAATATATAGTTTTGTGTATTCACTTTAAAAATAAATAATTAAATTAAAATAAATAGTTAATTCCATATAACAGACGAGATTTCTTTGGCCGTTTTTTGCTTGATATTATTAGATGGTTTCTAATGTTGTATAGGCAATGGTACGGAACCCTTCGTATACAAGTCGGACTCTCACTGGGCCCGTTTTTTACTGATCTAAATTATTCTAAAATTCTCAGAAAAAATTTTTGATAAACATCTATACCTTTATAAAAAATATAAAATTAAATTCTCTAAATTTCCCCTTGCATCATACAATAATGCATTCGGTAGGTACAAGAAACCATATTCTTTTTGCATACAATGAAACATAACTTACCAGGTACTTTTAATTCTTGGGCCAGATCAATCAACTCCTTGTAAATCTGAGACTTTTTCTGTACCGCACCATTGACGTCATCTTTAATCCTCCTAAGTATTTTACTCGTCATCTGCTGGTACGAATTCTGAATGTTCCTAAGATACGTGTCTAGGAAAGGTGCCAAAACGGTGTCCATGTAGCGGGATAGTTGGCTACAATCATGTTGATAAATGGGAACATTTATTTAAAAGCAGCAGAAGTAAATATGTCAGAAATTTAAACAGGTGTAGCTTCTTCCCATTAGAAGATGTGGTAAAAACTGGGTCATACAAAGGAATCAATTTCTATTATAAGGTGTCTCTACCCCGTGGAGCCCTTGAACTTTGCTCGGAACATGAAATATTAATTTACAATTATAGTAATAATAATAATGGAGGTAATTTAATAATTTAACTAAAGAACAAATAGTAAGATATTTATAACTAAAATACATTATTAAATGGAGTCCCTTTAGGCAAAGTTCCAAAGATACTGGCAGCGTTTGAATAGCTAGACCAATTCTTTGTCTGAGGTAGCTGCCAGCTCTTCGGTTTCCTGTGATATCGACCAACCTTTTTGGTATTTTTTCTTAAAAAGCCTTACAGCGCTCGCTAGGACCCTACGGAAAATAATATTTTAAAAATATTATGCTGGGCAAATATGTGACGCCCTGCAAGGGCATGGCAAATATCAAGCCAGAGGGCTAGTTAAATTATATTATTATACTTTCATCACATTTCTATTTAACACAACAAACAATTAAATTTTATAAAACAGATTTAACAATGTCAATAAGCAATGATAATAATGAAAATGTCAACTTAAATAATCAATTACATTTGTCCTCAAAAAATTCTTTCAACTTATATTAATATTTTTCGATTAAATATGATTTTCATTGATTATTGAATTTGCCAGATATTTCTGTTCTTTACATGTACATGTACAGGTACAAGTAGGTACATGATTATAATGTTTTATTCTCATAGCATAACTTTATTGTCATTGATGATGATTTTATTGTCACCTTATAGTAGGGGACCCCAAGTGGGGATTTTGGGATTTACTCGCTCGGCAGAATAACATCAGGAGTGCAACCTTGCACTTTCTGAAGTCGGAGTCCCACCACACCATACCTGAGTCTTTTAAAGAGGATCGAACGTCTATGACAGCAAATAAAAATTGCAACAATCGGCCATGACTTTTGGTCGCGTCCAAAACGTCAGTCTAATAAAAGCTACTTGAGTTCACGTAACGTTTCGTAACGATTTGGACGCGGCCAAAAAATTTTGCTGGTTGTAAGTTAAAACGTTAAGTGCAACCTGCACTTGACGTCTAAACCTAAAAAGAGACACCCTTATATTATTCTGCCGCGCTCGAGTAAATCCAAAAATCCCCTTTTGGACTCCCCTACTATTATTCTACATCACAAGGAAAGCATATAAATTAAGCTCTTACATTATATTATTATTTAAATGGAAGCAAATTCTAGAATAACTCAAAATTATTTTCTAATAACTTTATACCGTAGCCGTAGAAGGAGGAAAATATATTACTGTTATAATGAAAGCATAATCAAATAGCATAAATGTAATTAGTGAGTTCTTGAAATTAAGTGTATTAACTATTAATGAGCCTTCTAACACAAAGAGAAAAGTTTTATCATCTCTTCTACTATTTGTTCTACCAATGGAATATATAATATTTTTCGTTTAACGTTTGATCGTAAAAAAGTACGATTTTCTTATAACGGGCAATACTTAATATATTTTTTTATTTATTCTAGTAATATAAGTAAGTTAACCTATTGACTAAAGCTAATTGCGACGGCCTTATTTGCCGTCTGGTGTTCGTACTAGAGTTTCCAAATTTATCTTTCAGACTGATCAGGTGGTTGTCCAATTCCACTGGCAAATGTTGCCACGGTGGGATCTCGAAGCACATGCCCCCATCACGACGAACGTGGTTGCTGTGGTCCTAGAATATATTATTACAATGAGAAAAGCTTTTGTTATGAAATTACATTAAATCCTAAACATTACCCATTTCAAAAGGTAAATATTATTAAATGATCGTCAAAAAAATATTAAATGATCACCTAAAAATACAATAGGTTATTTAACGTCTATTACGTAGATAGGACAAGCATTTTTTATTTTTTCACATAATCAAAACAATACTTAAATATATTGATTTGAAATGTCGCATGACGTCACGTCTTGGTTCAATTTTGACTAAGAAATGACGTCACGAGCTCCCACCCCCACCCCCACTCCCAAACTTCGAGAAGCCAAGACTTTGTAATTTTTTTTATTGACAGTCGAATTATGTATCCATTATTTTTTATAAACTAGCTGTCGGGCTAAATATAACTTCGTTTATTTTACCCCGTCAGCACCCCTATTGTATTTTTTAAGGATCAATTACTATTTTTTAGATGCTATCATCAAAAATTTTGTAACAATCCTCGAAAAAATGAATTGCCTTTCAAAAATCACATAAAAAATTCAACTCACTCTACATTCACCTACTTCCGCAGCGCACAGCGTTTGACAAAAACAAAAGGTAAACGCTAATATTTCAATCAGGAGCATAGCTTATCGCTCAAACTTATCATTTTCCACTGCTGCTCGAATAATGTCTTTGCAGTTTTTACAACCTACACAATTACACGTTCCATTGAAACGAAAAAATGGGTTCCAGTCCATAATATTAATAGCGTTCGCGGTAACAAACTGGTTTTCCGTAATGAAACGTTCGCTCAATTTAAAATAAATATACACTGTGGAAAATTATTTTATCGCGCGCATTATAAATCCGTGCTTATTTTGAGTGTTATTAACCCATTACAATGGATTGTTATTTCAAACTGCATTTCAGGATAAAAGATTGATTTTTGAAAGAAAATTCTTCTTTTGAAAGATTTCTATATTGTAACAGTCTCCTTTTCAAAGACCGTTTAGAAGAATTGTTGCTTGACAAATTTTATTTATGGTATAAATAGTGATTCTTATATGAAAATTATATTTTATTGCTAGGTTAATGCCTTACCGCTAGTGACGCTGTATTTATTTATTTATTGTATAAAACTGCTCGAAAGAAATCTAAGCTATTTTTTTTTATGAAAATTGGTATATTGACCCACCGCCATTTTTTTTCGAAATCATGGCGTACAATGAAAGTGGTATGTATGGATAGAAGATACATAGACAAACAAAAAATGAAACCCTTAAAGTGTCATCTTTGACGACCTTTATGGCCGAGTGGTTTGTACGCCGGGTTTCATGGTGTCACCGACTAAAGAGGTCCGAATCCCGATGTTTGTGTGATGATTACGAACATTTGTTCTCCAGTTATGGATGTTTAATTATTATAAATATACTTATATGTATTCAATCCGTTACCCTAGCATCCCATAACACGAGCCTTATAGTGCCAAGTTTGGGGCTAGGCTAATTGGTGTGAGTGTTGGAAATATTTATTTATTTATTTTACCGAGATTTTTAAGGTAAGGATCGACCAACGACAATAATTAAAATTAGACTTATTACGTCTAAAGTTATCAGATTGTAACCAAACAGGTAATCAATCGTTCCGGGGTTTTATCACCTTTGATTTAAAAATAAATACTACTCCAATTATGGATAGCGATCTACTTTTTTTATGTTAAAAGGAGGAGCTCGATGGCGCAATTGGTTAGCGCGTTCGGCTGCTGTCGTTGAAGTTAAGCAACTTTCGCAGTGGTCGGTCATTGGATGGGTGACCGAAAAATTTACTATCTCGAGCCTCCATGCTTCGGAAGGCACGTTAAGCCGTTGGTTCCGGCTGCATCTGCAGTCGTCAGCACCCACCAATCCGCACTGGGCGCGCGTGGTAGGTCATGGCCCAATCTTCCTATTCCATCCATAGGTAAGACCTGTGCCCCAGCAGTGGGGACATTAATAGGCTGATGATGATGAAAAGGGTGGCAAACAAGCATATGGTCTGTAAGCGGTCACCATAGCTTATAGACGCTTGCGATACAAAAAATACCACTCGCGCCGATCTACCTACTCTGACCCAATCTCGTGCCCCATGGAGCCCTGAAACCTTACTTAGAGGCAGAAACACAACACCATCAAAAGGTATTATTTTACTATGACCTTCTGTGAGGTGGGGATTACTTCCTCAGACAGGCAATTCAAACGGAAATTTCTACCTCTCTTAATACTGAAGGTAGGTACTACTTATTTCAATCTCTTTGGATGATTTATATATCGTCGCATTTATATATTGATTAGCATAAAAATACATTTTATAATCTTCGATATTTTGATGATTGTGGCATTGCAAAACGCATGCATAATTACGTTGCATTGAATCAGTTTTAAACAATTTACGGTATTGCAATACTTGCATACACACCAATCAGGTACCCTTCAAAGAGAACAAATGAACAACAATCCACGATGTAAAGAAAATATTACTAGAAAAAAAATCCACGCGGACCAGGCAGCAGACGGGACTCGAACCCGCCCTTCGCTATCCGGGCTAATGCACTGACCATTATGCTACCGCGGCCCTGATGGTCGTGTCGAATTCTTTCTAGCCTTTCTTAAGCTGCTAGGCAGCGCCATCTCTCCGCATTGTAAATAACCCACAATGTCCACATAAACTTACATATCTTTTTAAAGAATAGTGATTATCACAATGTCAATACAAGAGGTAAAAATAGACTTGCTGTTCCGACTTTCAGACTTCATAAAACTAGTCAATCATTCATGGGGAAATATATAAAAAACTTCCACTTAATGTAACTGAACTTCCATTTCATTAATTCAAACTTCATGTTAAAGAAATTTTAATAAAAAATGCATATTATAAAGTTCAGCAATACTTAGACGATAAAAAGGTGTGGATACATTCCAATGTGCTCGATTCTCCACTGAAATCTAGAGAATTATCATTAAGCGTATAATTCTTATTCTAAATTGACAATATTGTAAGGAAAGACGTCATGGATCTCATCTTTCATACCTATTTAATTATTCTTTTCTTATTTCGTAGTAACTACTAGTCTTTTATTACTTTTAAAATTAATTAAATTATTAAAGACCTGATGTGGATTATGACTCTTTCCAAATAAATAAAAATAGAAAATGTAAAGGGAGGACAAAACTAGCTGAGTTTCGTGCCGGTTCTTCTCAGACAAGGCCTTCTGGTAGACTCTTGAACCGATGGCATCAAATTTCACTTTCATAAGCGTGAAAATTGTACCTAAATGAATAAAGAAATTTTGACTTTGACTTTGTCAAATGAATACCTTTACAGGTATTAAACATTTGAAAGAAGAAATAGCAATTATAGTTCTACAATTTTTACTATGAATAGAATCACCGTCTGCTGCCAGATTCACGTGGAACTTTGTCTAGTAATATTTTCTTTAGATTTAAACATCCAGCAGTTGCATGCTTAAAAAATAAAAATTATAACAATCCACAATATCAAATTTAATTAACAAGCTACGTAGGCAATATCGCTCACTAACCACGCCACGGAACGAATTTAATGAAGTGAATGTACATTATTAATTCAGCTAATGTCCCCGCGATAGCGCCCCAGCACTTAGCGCTGAAAATGCTTCATTTTACTTTTAAAGCGGGCCCGTTGTTTATGTACTGATACGCCCGTTCCTTGAGTGAAACATGACCGCTTATAAGCGCTGTAATTAATTTTGCTGAATTCACAGGTCGTCTCTGTTATGAAAAAAATTTTGAGAGGGTTTCGTATTCATATTATATTGGATAGATTAAAAGCTTCCAAGTCATAAACAAAGAGAGTACAACTTTTTTACGTTTCAGCAGAGAAACTTAATTTTTGCTAGTCGCGAACGGGACTGTGACGTGAATAAACAATCAGTGAATTACCTAATATCACCTTTTATCAAGCCATGGTCACCACCTATGATGTTTTAAATACACGCTTCTTATTTGGAAATACGAAAGTCAGGTAATTGCCCGACTTGCATTCAGTCGGGCACGCTCTTTCGCCGCGGCTACACTTCGCTACAACGTGTGAATATTTTACGTTTTTCCATACAAAAAGCCCTATGTGTATTTTTAAATTATACAAAAAACACACGGGAACTATTACAGACAAGAAAAACGTGTCATTTCATTCGTAAGTACAGTTTTAATATAAATTAATGTAAAATCTTTAGTGATTACTTATTTTGACAATTGCTGACACCGTAGACTGGTGGAGGCTAAAGAGTGAGATGTAGTCTGCTTTATGAATGAGAGTGAAAGAGACGATATTAGTGCGCTCTATTGATGGTTGTTGCTAAGGGTAGTTGGGGCGGGGACTACTTGTGCCATTTTAAAATGCAATAATGTTGGCGTGTCTGACATAGTGATTTATCAACGCACAGCCCAAACCACTGGACGGATCGCGCTGAAATTTGGCAAGCAGGTAGATGTTATGACGTAGGCATCCGCTAAGAAAGGATTTTGGTCAATTTTACCCCCAAGGGGATAAAATAGGGAATGAAAGTTTGTATGAAACTTTGTCAATTTTAAACCGCTCGGGCTGAGACTTTGCATGGAGGTATAAGAAGAATCATAGATAAATGTCATTATGTATAATACAAGCCTGAGAACAAAAACTGAAGTCTACACTTCAGCTCTACACCGAAGCGAAGCGAGGGCGGGCCGCTAGTATATTATACGTCATTGGTCACCACCACTTCACCACCATATTATAGAGAACCACAAAGTAGCCAAACCCCTTTGCCTAGATAGTTAGAGGTTATGCTAAGTTTCAATATTATTCAAATATTCTAATTATATGCCGACCTCGTACTATTTCCATAATACATACCTATAAACAATGAATGCAAGTTAAATAGAAATTGAGAAATAAAACCAAGAATTAGCAACTGGCGTGCGAATCCGGGGTGTTTGATAGTTTATGATATTTAAACATGTACCTCACAATAAAATTAGTTTTTTTTTATTTTTTAGTTTTTTAAGTGACCCTTAACCTATCTGATTTTTTTTTCATTTTTTTCGATAACGAGCAGAAAAAATGTATTATATCCACGGCAATGACCAACGCAGCGTTGGTTTGCAGTTAACACACCCTCGCGACGCAGGTAATCGCGTGGTGCATTGACCCTGTGATCCCGATCTCTCCTAAACCTCTGAAATTTCAAAAATTAATAGAGATACGTCCGTAAAGAAAGTTCTCTCACTCACTCACTTAATGTTATAAATATTCTCTTAAACCATTTAAAATCGTTCGTCTTATTTATAACATGCCATGACGGGAACTATTAAAATATCTCGTAAAATGAAACACGAGTTACGAGACGAAATACAATAAAAATATTTTCCCCCATAGAAAATTATACGGGTTGTATTCGTATATAAAAGGTTAAACTTCAGAAAAGAACCGTACTGTGACGGCACAAAGACTATTTTGCTTCAAGTCAGTTTGTTATACGAGCACGAATAAAGGACAAGACATAAATGTGCAAGATTTGCAAATAATTCTTATGCAATGTCTCATTTAATATGTTGCTGAGGTATTCGGTGCACTTATGAAGTTACTAAGTTGATATCAGAATTGCAATTAAGACTTGTATTTTAAATAAAAACAGGAGTCACTTAGGAGTTTCCCCCCTTCAAATTGAAGGGGAATTGAAGTAGGAGTGGGTTTCAAGGTTAAAAGCGTTTTAAGGGTAGTTTAAGGTTTGTGGCCAGTTGGAAATCGGGTGCCACGACCACGCCCGCACTCCCGGCGCGCATTGGGGGGACCTGGGTCCCCAGAATGCGTGCCGGGTGAACGGTGCAGGAGCATTGTCTGGTTTTAGTGGTCCTGTTCAGTGCTATAGGTAGGGCCCTGCCCATTTTATCCGGCCCAAGGGCTGGCTGAAATGAGCAGGGTGGAGTCCTACGTACCTTCTCCTCGCTCCCCCGGTGGTTGAAGGATGCGTAAGGCATTTCCCAGACACAAAAAGGAGTGGTTTAGGGTTATTTTTTCACGGCGCTAAAAGTACTTTGTGA